GGGGGCGGCGGCTGGGGGCCGGCCTGCGTGAAGAAGGTGTAAGGCAGCTGCTGCTCCAGAGACAGGGCGTCCATGGCCACGGCCTGCGGAGGACAGGGCAGGTTGGTACCAGGGACCTCACCCAGGGCCGCGGGCCCCGCCGGGCACGCACCCAGCCGGCGCTGCCAGGGCCCCCAGGCCTCCTGGCCACTATGGGCAGACACAAGACGGCCACACTGGAATCCCAGTACGGGGCTCACCCCACCCCACTCCCAAACGTCTCCGGAAAGCTCTGGGGGCAGGTAACACGGTCACTTGGTGAGGAGAGGCTCCAGACATTTCTGGAGAGAGAGAAGACAAAGGAAGTTTGGGCAAATTTATGGCCAGGGAATGAGAGAAAGGAGACAGAGAGAGGGCGGGGGAGGGAGGAAGGGGGAGAGAGAGGGAGGGGGAGAGAAGGGGTGGGGGAGGTGTGTGTGTGTGTGTGTGTGGAATAACTGCAGTTGGGTATATTTAAAAAAACAGAAACTTGACGGAGGCGCTGGTGGCTCACACCTGTAGTCCCAGCTACTCAGGAGGTGAGATCTGAGGGTTGTGTGTCAAAGCCAGCCCGGGCAGGGACGTCTGGGAGACTTTCTCCAATTAACCACCAAAAAATGTATGGGGAGCTGGGGTTCAAGTGGAGGGTGCCAGCCCCAAGCACAAGGGCTCAGGGGCAGCGCCCAGCCCCAAGCACAAGGGCTCAGGGGCAGCGTCCAGGCCCCGAACGGAAGCCGAGGAGCAGCAGAAAAGCAAGAAAATGGAAAGAACAAAAGCCAACCTGGAGATAAACACACATACATATATACGTGTATGTATACGATACACACTCATTTTTTTCTTTGACGTTTTGCTGATAATTCGACACCTTAGCAGAGCACTGGACCCGCGAACCCACCCTGCCCCTCACCTGGCCCCCACCCGGCCCTCACACCTGGACCCGCGAACCCACCCTGCCCCTCACCCTGCCCCCACCCGGCCCTCACACCTGGACCCGCCAACCCACCCTGCCACCCACCTGGCCCCCACACCTGAGTTATGGGAGACAGGGGGGACAAGGTGGGCGCCACCTGCTGCGCCTGCTGCCGCCTGGCCTCGGTGCTCAAGGACAGGGGGCTGACACCGGAGGCCCGGTGCTGTGGAGAGGAGCTGGGCGTGCTCATCCCTGGGAGGAAGAGAAAGGGAGGCCAGGTGAGGGAGGCCTGGCCACACCCCAAAGGGGCGTGTCTGCAGCCCTGGCCAATCAGCACTTCTCAATTTCTGGAGAAAACTGATTGCCCTCTAGGCATGTGACCAGGCTGGTCCAATGAGAGTCTGTCCAGAGACTTTGGATATTATTCCAGGAAGGGCTGTCTCCCCAGGTAAGGTGAAGTGTCTCAGGAAGGCTGGGGAACAGACACAGAAGGGTGGGATTTCCTGGCTAGAGACGGGAATCCCTCCCTGGCTTAGAGGCTTTGAGCGGATGACTGACCGATGCCGGCGTGCCGGGCTGCGCCTTACCGACCTCAAGGCTCTCCTTGTGTCTCCTGAGCACACAGGTCCCCAAGACCCAGCCTCCCCATGCCCCTCAGCCACCCCAGGGCCCCCCCTCCTGCCTTTCCTAGCTGGGGACCCTCCATGCCCTGAGCCTTGGCTCCCAGTGCTGACTGCGGCGGGGGGCACAAAGAAAGAACGTGGGTGGTGCCCGGGCCTGCCGGCTTCTCCCAGCGCCGCAGGCCAAGCAGTCAGCAGCCTTTTGATGACAGGTGGGCCCGGGCCCCACTGGACCCCCGCTCACCCCAAGACCCGGCTCCCTCACTGGGAGATGGAGATGGTTACCATCATCTGCTGGGGTCTGCCACAAGGCCCCAAGGTCACGGGTGGGCAGAGGCTCTGGTGGGCAGTGCTCAGCCGCAGACGGGGCCGTGGAGGCCCTGCACGGCGCCGTGTCCTGGCAGGCGGCTGGCAGCTGCGGGAACACACCCAGCGCGTGCCGGGGAGGTGACGTGGGGCCACCTTCTGCGCCCCGGGCAGCCGCTCACCGGGCGAGCTCAGGCGTGCCTGCCCTCCTCCCCAGACCTGCCAGCCACGCCTGGCCTGGCGCCCGGGAACGGGGCACCGTGCCTGCTCCCCTGCCGAGCCCCCAACCGCGGCATCGCAACACCATCAGGGCCTTGGTGGTTCCGGGTGCCCACCAGGCTGGCATCGGAGCCATCCCAGGAGCTGGAGGGGTCCCGGCGGGGAGCAGGGGCAGGGCAGAGCCAGGCGGCGGGGCAGGGCAGGGCAGGGCAGAGCCAGGCAGACATGTGCCAGCCCGGCCTGAGGCGGATAGGAGCGGGGCCACCCAACCTGCTCTTGGCTTCCCAACTCCACAGAAAGGACAGGGCCGGTGCCAGTGGCTCATGTCTGTCACCCCAGCCTTTCAGAGATCTGAAGATCAAGGTTCAAAGCCAGCCCAGCAAGAAAGTCTGTGCGACTTATCTCCAAGTAGTCAGCAAAAAAGCTGGAAGTAGAGCTCTAGCCTTGAGAGGAAAAGCTAAGGGACAGCACCCAGGCCCTGAGTTTAAGTCCTAGTGCTAGTGTGTAACACACACCCTTCCTCCCTCCCTCCCTCCCTCCCAGGCAGATAAATAAGCGCACCACCAGCTGGCCCAAGCGAGCAGACTTAATCCCATGCTGGCGGGCCAGGCTCCAGGCTGGTGTGGGGTGACCACCGCCCCCAGAGCGGCCAGGTGGGCAGGATGCAGCCAGCTGGCGAGGAGGTGCAGGGCGGGCAGGTGGCAGGCCCGTGGCACGCAAGCCCTGCTGGGGGGCAGGGCAGCAGGGCAAGTGCCAGCGAGGACACCGCCGCCCTCAGGCCAGCATCCAGGGTGCTAGTGTGTGTGTGTGCGTGTGCATACACCGCTGGCCGCCACCCTCGGGCCAGCATCCAGGGTGCTAGTGTGTGTGTGTGCATGTGCGTGTACACCGCTGGCCGCCGCCCTCTGGCCAGCATCCAGGGTGCTAGCGTGTGTGTGTGTGCGTGTGTGTGTGTGCGTGCGTGTACACCGCTGGCCACCGCCCTCCGGCCAGCATCCAGGGTGCTAGCGTGTGTATGTGTGTGCACACGCGCGTGTGTGTACACCGCTGGCCACCGCCCTCCGGCCAGCATCCAGGGTGCTAGCGTGTGTATGTGTGTGCACACGCGTGTGTGTACACCGCTGGCCGCCACCCTCGGGCCAGCATCCAGGGTGCTAGCATGGTGTGTGTGTGTGTGTGTGTGTGTGCGCGTCTGCGCGCGCACCTGCGTGTGGACTCTCTGGAGTCCACACATTCAATTTAGGAAACGTGCAGAAAGCAAGAAAGCCCAGCCTGGGAGTCGGCTGGTGACCAGCAGCGATGGCACGCGTGCCAGTCTGCCGGCCCAGGGTGGGCGCGGGCCCGGTTGCCTATGTGCTGCTTTCTTGTCCAGGTGTGTTTAGGCTGTGCGGGATGCTGGGCCCTGCGGTGCGTGGCACGGGGGTGGGGCTGGGAAAGAAGGCCCTGCCCCGGCCAGGCCAGGCATGGTGACCCTGGGTCCAGGTCTGGTTCTCACTGGGCCCAGGGTGGGGGCACACACCAGCTGCCAGCCAGGTCTGGGCCATGCTCTGCCCCGTGCGGGCGCTGGGCCCCGGCGGCGCCCGCATCCTGGGGAGAGGGGCTCACTCAGCCCACGTAACCCCACGCCTGCTGCCCAATCCCCATGGGTGCCCAGACGTCACCCTAGCTCCCATGCCCCAGGTCACCCCGCACTTCTGCAAAACAGCCAGCGGGTGGAACTGGCACAGGTCCCAGCCCGAGCCCCTCCCCACGGCCACAGGGAGGTGCCCTGAGCACCTGGGCCAGAGGGGATGCTGTAATCCTAGCTACTCCGGAGGCTGAGCTGAGGGTGGTGGTTTGAAGCCAGCCAGAGCAGGAATGTCTGTGAGACTCTTACCTCCAACCACCACAAGCCAGAAGTAGTGCTGTGGCTCAAGTGGTAGAGCACTCGCTTGGAGCAGAAGAGCTCAGGGACAGCACCTGGGCCCCGAGTTCAAGCCCCAGGACCAAAGAGCCATGACTGCTCAGGAAGGCAGGCCGTGCTGGGCGGGGCACCTCAGCGGGCTGGCCTCCTGGGAAGCAGCCTCAAACCATGGCCACGGCAAGGGCACAGGGAGCAGGGACGAGCCCAGTGCCGGGGCACGGAGCCACGGAGCCCAGAGTCAGGGGTCAGGCCCTGGGATGAGTGCTGGGCTGTGGGTTCAAGGCCGGGGAGGGGGCAGAGACTAAGGAGAAGGCAGCCAGGCCTGGACAGCCCCTAGGATAGGTTGGGGCGAGGAGGGACAAGGGACAGTGTGGTCACGCCTCGGGCTGAGCCCTCCCAGGCTCTCCCCACAGCCCCCGCCCGCCCTGCGGCCCGGGCAGAGCCTGGCGGGTTGGGGTCAGCTTACCCTGGCCGGCGCCGAGGCCTGGGTGCGTGAGGCTGGAGTCGGGGCTCCCAGGGAAGGCGGGGAAGGCGGGCTCCTCGGGGTCCAGCGGCGTGGGGAGCGGTGGAGGGAAGTGGATGTTGCTCAGGTCGGGCAGGGATCCCCCCGTGTTGTGGGTGGCAGGGACCAGGGTGGCGGTGTTCTCTTGGTCCGAAGATGGGAAGATGCTGTGAGGGCCAGGGGGAGGGGGTGAACTCTGGGGTGTGGGGGCGCAGGGTCCCGGGTTGAGGCCTGGCAGGGTGGGGAGGCCTAGGAGGTGGGGTCCCAGCGTCCCAGCCAGACTTACTTGATCCCAGGGACCTCACAGGACTTGGGCCTGGATCCTGCCTGGAAGAGAGGGCAAGGCGGGGAGACCGTGGGGCCACTGGGTGCCCTCAGCGACCCCTAGAGGGCGGGGCACTGTGGGAGCTGCCCTGGGGCGGGCTGGAGGCCCCAGGGCCCCTCTGCCAGCAGTGGGGCCATCGGGTGACAGCCCGTCAGCAGCCCCATGGGCTCCTGTCACAGGCCCTGTCTGAGTCAGGCAGCGGCGGCTCTGGGGGTCACAGCCCTAGGGAGCTGGGGGGAGGGGGAAGGCGTGGCCGCTGTGTACTGTGGGAGCGGCCTGGGGTCAGCTGGGACCCCACAGCAGGGGACCCCATGCCTGGGGCCTGCTCCTCTTCCTCTGGGAGGTGGGGGGAGGGGACAAGGACGAGGGGGTGGGCCCAGCCCGGCCCCCACTGCATCCCAGAGGGGGTCAGCCAGGGTGGGGTGCAGACACCGGCGGCCGGGAGGGCAGGGCCCCACCTGGCCAGCATCTCTGGATGCCTACAAACACCCACACCCGGCATTGCGGGGAGGAAGTGTCCAGGGGCTGCTGGAGTCAGCCAGACACGGCTGCGCACACACCCGCACATTCTTGTGTCCGTCCTGAGCTTTTTCATTCAGGGCAGGGGCTGGCTGATGCGAGCCACAGCTCACGTCCAGCCTCCCTGATGGTTGACTGGAGGGAAGAGGCTCACGGGCTTTCCCGTCCCCGCCTGTCTGAACCGGTTGAGTCTTTCCGGTGTGGCTGCGGGCACCTGGTCTCTTTTCTTCTTCCTTGGATGTACTGGGGTTGGACTCGGGCCCGGGCCTCCTGGGAAGGCGCTCTGCTCTGCCCGGGCCACACCCGCAGCCCCTCTTGCTTCAGTTATGCTTCCAGCAGGGTCTGTTCGGACCGGGCTGCGGCACCCCACCCCACCTGGGCTTCCTGTCAGAGCTGTGAGGCCAGCGTCTGCGGGGGGCCGGGGGGGGGGTCGCAGACGCTGCCCTGGAGAGTCGCTGGGACTGCAGGTATGAGCCGCTCTGCTCCTACCTTCTTGGTGTCCCACGTCTGCTTGGAAAGGTTCTTGTCTGCCTCTGACGCGGAACCTTCCATTCCCGGGACGGTGAGCAGGAGGACTGGAGGGGAGGAGGATGGTGAGGAAGGAGCCGAGGCCCCGCCCTCCGCGCGTGAGACCCGGGCGCCCCTGTACCTCTTTTCTGGTGTGTGTCCTGGGAGGGGCCTGGGAAGGAGTCGGGCGGGGTGGGTGCCATGGCGCTCTGGTGCAGGGCCGAGTCTGAGTTCGTCCTGGGGAGGAGACAGTGAGGCTCAGGGGCCGCTGCAGGCCCGGGGTCCAGGCCGGGCCTGCGGCCGGCGGGGGGCACTCCATCCTACACCAAGGGCATCGTGCAGGAGCCAGCAGAGCGGCCACAGCCGAGCCACGCCGTGTGGCCGCTGGTGGCGGGTCTGTGCCATGTCCCCGATGCTCCTGGCTTTTGGGGAGCAGCAGGCACCGTGGGCCTGCCCCCTGCAGCATGCTGGCAAGCTAGGTGTGGGGCAGTGCCTCCCGGCATGGGGCAGAGCCCAGCAGTGGCCTGGTTCAGCTGGGGACCCCCGAAGACCAGAAACCGCTGCTGGACCAGCGAAACGCAGGCCCAGCCGGCAGGAGGCTCAGGGGAACAGCACAGCACCCCGCAAGGCAATGGGGACATCCCGTCATGCAAAGGGACAGAGGGCACCGCCCGCAGGGAGGACGGAGGAGCCGCTCGGTGAGCATGCTCACGCGGTCATCCCAGCCACACAGGAGGCTGGGATCTGAGGATGGCAGTTCAGAGCCAGCCCAGGCAGGAACATCCCTGAGACTTTTATCTCCATCGAACCACCAGAAGCCTGGAGCTGTAACTCAAATGGTAGAGCACCAGCCTCGAGTGAACAATCTATGAAAAACTGCAAGGCCCTGAGTTTAAGTTTCAGGACTGGCACATGCATGCGCACACACAAAATAAACACAGAACTGAACACAGCGAGCTGTAAGACTATCGGGTTTTGCAGGCTGGGAAGGTGGCTCGGTGGTAGAGTGCTCGCCAAGCACTCAGGAAGCCCTGGGTTCCATTCCTCAGTACCACAGACACCGAGAAGGCTCCAAATGGCGCTGTGGCTCAAGTGGTAGAGCACAGAGAGGCCTAGGGCCGGCGCCCCAGCCCTGAGTTCAAGCCCCAGGACTATCCAGTTTTGGAATGGAAGGAGGCTGCAGAGCTGGAGGAGGAGGGCGGCAGGGACAGGTGGAGGCGGGAGTGGTGGCGGCAGGCAGGGCTTCGGGGCCCTCCAATCAGCCGCCCAGGCCCAGGTGGCCACAGAGGGCGGCCTGGCCACTGACCTCCTCCAGCTGCAGTCCGCGGGCGGCGAGAGGTACACGGTGCTGTAGGGGCAGCCGTCGGCGTGGGCGGAGTTAAGGGGCGGCACGGTGCACTGGCTGGGCCCGGCCGCCCCGAGCCTGGGAACAGCTGGGCCGCAGGCGTTTCCTGCCCGGCTGCGAGCAGCCTCAGCACTGGGGGCTCCCGGGGGCCTCGACCCCGCCACCCCGCACTCAGCACCGGCTTCCTGAGGCCAGGGCCTTGGGAGCTCGGCCAGCCCTGTCCTCTCTGGGGCTCTGGGGCCGAGGCTCTGCCCGGCTCAGCCTGCCTGGCTTCCCCCAAGGCCACAGAGGGGAGCCGCAGGGAGGTGGGGGGGCCTGTCTACAGAACTGGGGCCCCCTGGAGCAGCTGGTGATGGGGACCTGGCAGGTTTCTGCCCCACTGAGGCGCAGCTGTGAATTCTATACCCGACCCAGTGCCAGACCGGGCCCGACCCAGCGGCAGACCGGGCCCCGGCCTCGGAAGCGCCGGCCAACGTGGGTGGAGGAAGGATATCGGCCGCCCGTGCTTGTCCACTGATGGCGGCCGGCGGTGGGGGGAGCCCAGGCGGCCCCGCTCCCGGTACACCCGGTCCACCAAGCCATGGTGGCGCGTTGTCCGGCTGGTGTCCAGGCCTGAGGACTGGAAGGGCGTCTGGAGTGGGGAGAAAAGGGACAAAGCCAGGGGCTCGTCATCCTCCGTGGCCCTGACCCCCCCAGCTCTGCCTGGGGGTGCCACGCTGCCCAGCCCTGCCCCCTGCCCCAGGATGACTGGGCAGAGCGGCTCAAGCTCAGGCCGGTGCCCGCAGGGAGCAGGCGTGGGAGCAGCCTGGACTGGCGTGACCATCCGCCTCCTCCAGGGGCCTCCGGTCCTGTCACCCCTGAGGTGCAGCCGAGACATGGCCGGGGACCGGCCCCCGTGGGCCAGTGGAGGCCGGAGCGGCTCCTGGCCTTCCCCGGTGTCCAGTTAGAGCCCTGGCTCACGGTGCCCGGGGACGCCGGAGGCCCTGGCTGGGCGTCTCCCCCGTTCTGGGCCCTGGGCGCCTGGGCTCTACCTGCCCGGCCCGGTGGGGCTTCCCCACCACTGACGATGGTGACAGGCCCCTCACTAGCCTGGACACCAGCGTGTCCACCGGCCTGGCCACCTGGGCCCTGGCCCATCTGTCTTCCTCCTGCAGCTGGACAGGAACCTGACAGGAAGGTGAGGGCCTGTCTGGTGCCCACCGAGGTCCCTTCTACTCTGCCTCGCTTCTTCCTGGGACTGAACTCGGGGCTTGGGCGCTGTCCCTGGGCTTGCTTTGAGCCACAGCACCACTTCCAGGTTTCTGGGGGTTCCTGGAAGGTGAGAGTCTCAAAGGCTTTCTTGCCAGGCTGGCTTTTTATTTCTTTTCTCAAATCTAGCACGCTACCATTTGAGCCACAGTTCTCTTTTTGGCTATTTGGTGGCCGAATGGACATGGAGTCTCATGCACTTTCCTGCCCGACCTGGCTTTGAACCGTGATCCTCAGATCCCCGCCTCCTGGGTAGCTAGGGTCACAGGTGTGATCACCAGCACAGCCTAAGTACACTTCTGCCCCCACGGTGAAGCGAGGGGCCACCATGACCGGTAACAATGGGCTGGGGGGGGGCGTCCACCTTCCTGCAGCCATGCCTGGCAGCCCAGAGGGGAGACGGGCACTGAGGCACAGCCTGCCCTGGACAGCAAGTGGCCCAGGGTCCTCCCCTCTAGAGAGGTGACCATGCAGCGGTGCGCATGCTTGGGGCCCCGTCCTCCTGGTGGGGGCCAGCTTGGGTGTCTGGGGGCTCTGTGGGCCATGCCCTGGCGGCTCCATGGACACCCGGCACGGTGGCCGCCCTCCCGGTGGTTGGGGGCAGCCGCGTGGGGGCCAGGGGCCCCTGGCGCGCACGGGGACGGGTTGGGGTCTCGCAGGCTGGCACGGCAGACTTGGCCCAAGAGCTCCATTACCAGAGTCAGGAGCCCCATCCAGGGCCTCACCCACAAATCCACTGGGCTGAAAATGCAAAGAACTGAGGCCTGGAAACGCCCTGCGGATGCTGGACGGCAGGCAACAGCCCCGTCGGGCTCGGGGACCAGGCGGAGGCCAGGCCGCGAGCGCTCGGGTGGAGCTGCGCCCAACCAGCTCCCACCCCGGCAGCACAGGCCGAGAGGGGGGTGGGGCGTCTGGGGGCCGGGTGATCCAGGGCCTGACACAGCCTGCCCGTCTGTGGCCATCAGTGGTCTGCTTCTGGGGCTCGCACAGCACTGGACGGAGCTGCGACCACAGAGGTGGGGGACCCCAGCCCGCTCCCCAGCCCACCCCTGTGTCCACCGCAGACAGGCCTGGCAGCCGCCTGGGCCTTATCTCATTAGGCACCGATGCCTGGTGCGGCCAAGCAGCTTCTGCCAGAAACCAGACCTGTCTGCAGCAGGGAGGGCTGGGGGTCCGGGCCTCCCCGGGAAGGGGGAGGCCCTCGGGGGAGAGGGGGGGTGCCCAGGCCCCACACACTTCCTGCAGCTACAGAGAAGGCCGACAGGTGCCACGGGCGCAGGTGCCATGGGCGCAGGCCGGGCCTGTTGGAGGGGAGAGCTGGCGGCGGGTCCTGGGCATCGGGCCGGTGCGGGCGGGGCTCACCTGGAAGGGCAGGTCCATGGCCCCGCTGCCCAGCTGGTTCACGTTGGGCAGGGACCCGCCATAGTACTGGCCGCGGCTCGGGCCCAGCTGCAGGTACTGCGACTTCTGAAGCTGCAGCTGCAAGACAGAGACAGATGGCCAGCTGCAGGGGGGCCGGGTGGGACCTGGCAGCCTGGGGGCTCATGGCATGGTCTCAGGTCCCTGGCTGCCTCGCATTGGCAGAGGTGGGTCACTCCACAAGGGTGGGAAACGTGGGCCCTCTGGGGGGCGCCCGTCATCTCTGCCACAGGCTGCGTGACTGGGCCCGGAGGTGTGGGCAGGGCCGCACGCGGGGCTGGCCGTGCCGCGTATCAGGAGTCCAGCCTGACCTCTGGTCCCTCCGTAACATGCCCACTCCAGCTCGAGGGGCCAGCCCTGCTCAGGGGCTCTGTGTGGGTGCCATCGAGGACGGTCACCCCCTGCGGCCAGGGCCCTGGGGGAGGTGGGAGCTGACCCGCAGCCCTCGTGGGATCCACAGGCTCGGTGCTGTCGCAGAGGCCGGCGACCACCTGCTGAGCTCCCAGCAGCACTGTACGGCTCAGACTGCCGTGGGGGGCTGGGGAAGTGAGGCCGGAATGGCCACCTGCCTGCCAGCACCGCGGCCGCTGCCCTCAGCTCATACCGCCGTGCCCCGCGTGCCAGCTCGCGCCGGGGCCTTGGGAAGCGACAGCCGCAGGGGAGCGCGTCTTGGGCCACAAGGTCCAGGGCGCCCAGTTCACGCAGGACTTCCTACCACCCGGGGCTGCGTCCCCCCAGGGGGTGCCTGCCCCCCCCACTGTGGGCAGGGTGGGCGCAGCCTGCTGCCTCGTGGCTGCTCTGGCCACGGCCTGTCCTGCCCCTCACAGGGCCATTCCCCAACGACCCCAGTCCAGATGGGGAGACTGAGGCCTGGGGAGAAGCTGCTGCCAGTGCTGGGGATGGGGGCGGGAGGTAACCCTGACTTTCAGGTGTGTGGGGGTTGGGGCCCTGCTGTGTCTGGGAGCAAGAGGTGCCCCCGGGGGCAGCTCAGGGCGGGTGCCATCTGGGACCTGCTCCGTTCTGCCAGGGGTCATCATGGCCTGGCCAGGACAGATGACCCCCAGACCCAAGGGACCTGACCGGCCAGCACCAGTCACTGCCCACAGAGGACAGGCAGAGGGATGCAGGGGGTGGGACATGACTGAGAGCAGGCAGGGGTCCTCAGGAGGGACAGCACCGGAGACGGGGCACAGAGCACAGCCAGAGCCCCCCTGTGGCAGCGGGGAGAAGGGACACGTGTGGTGGCAACCAGCACCGGCAGGCGGCCGGGTGGCTGCCCCACACCCCAGCCCGCACGCACGCCCCAGCCTGCACGCACGCCCCGGCCCGCTCCGGCTGCCCGCTCCCGGTGCCGAGCGGCTGCACCCTAGTGCTGCCCTGCCTCTGCCCCGGTGGGCAGGCACCATCTGCTGCCTGCAGCTGAGCCTGCAGGAGCCGCCTGCACCCCCTGGCCCTGAGCCAGGGTTCCCAGGGGAAAGCTCAGGATGGAGACAAGGCAGACACCCCACATGCACGGCGTACCCATACACGCAGCATGCACGGCAGGTGTGGGCCATGGAGGAGACTGGTGTGCCAGGAGCGAGGCTGGGGTGGCACACCCTGGGCTGGCCGCAGGCCTGGCCAGGAACAGACGCCTGGGTAGTGCCGGGCAGCATGGAAGGCAGGAGGGGCGTGGCACCTGCTCGCAGCCCCGTGCTGGACCCTGGGGCGGTCGCCCAGAAACTGCCCTATGAGCCCTTGACCACATTCCTGAGCTTTTCCACGCAAGGCTGCCACTCTACCACAGCACCACTTCCAGTTTTCTGGTGGTTTATTGGAGATAAGAGTCTCGTGGATTTTCCTGCCCGGGCTGGCTTTGAACCGCAATCCTCAGATCTCAGCCGCCTGAGTGGTTGGGATGACAGGCGGGAGCCACCAGCGCTGGGCCCAGCCTGTTTCTGTCCCCCAAAAGAAGACCTGGCCCCTGCAGTCCCCGACTGCTTCCTGCCTCTTCCCCACAGCTGGCCCCCTGGGCCTTGGGCTCTGGCTTCTCTCATGTCGCGTGTTTTGGGGTTCACTCACATTGTGGTGTGTCAAACCCAACTGCTTGTCACGGCCCAGTGCACCCTGCGCCGTTTGTTTATTTATGCGCTCCACTGATGGACGCTTGGGTTATTTTCCCAGCTCTGACTCTTGTGTGAAATCTGTTACAAACGTGGGGCCCACACTCACCCCCCTGGGGGGTCCGTTGGAGACTCCAGTCAGCCGCCCACCTCCACACAGCCCCACTTGCTCCTGCCGGCTTGCTCTGCTGGGCGGACCCCCCCAGCACCGAGCTGCACCCCAGCCCCACAGAGTCTCCGGCCAAGGCCTCAGTGAGGCCCCCGCCCCGGGCCCCCAGGGCTCTGGCCCTTGGCCAGGGTCGGGGAGGGAGGGAGGCCAGGTGAGGGGGGCTGGGAGGGATCGGCAGATGGGGCAGATGGCGGTGCCACACGGCTGGGGGCCGGCCTGCCACTGCCCTGCTCCCCTTTCTCCCCCTCCTCCCCCAGCCCAGGAATGCCTTTAATCAGCCTCAGCCGCCAGGCCCCGCCCCGCCAGGGTCCCTGGGGTCCGCGCTGCCCCCCAGGAGGCCCGATCCTGCCAGCTGGCCTGGTGCCCACCTGGGCTGTGGCTTGCCAGGGGTCCCGGGAGGGAGGGCGCAGCCACACATGGGACACAGGGTGGACTGCAGGCCCGGCCCCCACCCTGTCTCCAGATCCAGGTGGTCACCCAACTTTGCCCCCCAGCGGGGGGCCCAGGGCTGGGTGAAGGGGTCGCAGCCTGGTGACAGCTCTCCACACCCCAACTGGTGCGCGTGCCAGGACACCCCCCACGCACACCCATCCAGCCCCTCTTTCTCTAAGACCAATGACCTCGTGTCCCCCTAAGGTGGCCGGGAGCTGGGCCCAGCCCCACACCCCTCCCCAGGGCACACCCATGGGCCCCAGCACCAAAGCAGTCCACAGAGTGGACAGAGAGGGGCCTCTCGGGGATAGAGGCCAAAGTCTGGCGTGCGGTTTGCTTGCGAGGCCCGTTCTGGGCAGGAGCGGCACCATGGCCGGCGGGTGGCTGGGCATGGCGTGCACTGGCGGGCGCGAGTCCCAGAGCAGTGCCAGCCCAGCAGGTGCCAGGCCTCAGAACCCACAAGAGGAAAATAAAAAGGTCAACTCCACCGCTGGCTCACGCCCATCATCCCCAGCCGCTCAGGAGGCCGAGACCTCAGGATCATGGTTAAACCTGGCTGGGACAGGAATGTCTGTGAGACTCAGGGACAGTGCCCAGGCTTCAAGTTCAAGCCCCACGATGACCATTAAAAAAAAGAAAAGGAAAACGTGAGAATGGACCCCAACCCAGTGAGCGCGTGTCCTCAGGATTGGTGGATGCCGGCAGACACGGAGGCTGCCCGCCCAGGCCCCCGCAGCCCCCGGGAGACGGGACGGGGCCTGACCCGGACCCCTGCCACATGCCAGGACGAGGGCCCTGGGGTACGGCGACCGTCACTGAGCCACAGAATGAAGCACATACTGAAGGGCACACCTGTGCTGCATGTGCATGTGCATGTGCACACGCATGTGAACACATGCATGCTCCGGGCTCCCGTGGCTGGCACCACCGCGTGTGTCAGGAGCAGACCCGCCCCGCCACGTGTCATGGTCCACCATCTCGTTACCTACTGAGCCCCACGGAGCCCGGCCTGCCGGCGGCCGGGGCTGGGCAACGCCACCTGCCCGGCCCCCCTCCTGATCCCGGCCATCTGCCCATGCTGCCCCCCGCCGCGGCAGGGCGCGGGTCACCACGGCCTCACAGCCTCACCCGCCCCCCGCGGCCGCCCTACAGGACAGATGAGACACACTCGAGGTGCCCTCGTTACCACGGCCCAAAATAGCTGGGTTGCTCCATTTTTTAAGACACAGCTCAATGACGGGTTATATAAGTCACATGGCGGGGCGTGACCTAGACTGGCAGGGGACCTCGCGCCCGTCCCCCCCGCTCCACGGCGGTGGACCGGGGACCCGCAGGCTGTGGGCAGGGACGGGGGACAGGCGCCCGTGTCCCCAGCCTGGCCCCGGGCATCGCGTGCCGGCAGTCTGAGCTCCCGGCCTGGCCTGGCCTGACGGCTGTCGCCCAGCACGGCCCAGGTCCCCGGGACGCACCTGCAACCCTGCCTCCTTCCTGATTCTGCCTGTGTGCCAACCCCTCCCTCGGGGCACACCGGTGTTCACTCTCTTTTCACTTTTATTTTTTGCCAGTGCTGGGACATGAATGCAGGGCCTGGGCGCTGTCCCTGAGCTTCTTTTTGCTCAAGGCTGGCACTGTACTGCAGCACTTCCGGTTTTCTGGTGGTTCACTGGAGATAGGAGTCTCACAGACTTTCCCGTCCGGGCTGGCTTTGAACCGAGATCCTCAGATCTCAGCCTCCTGAGTAGCTGGGATGCCAGGCGTGAGCTGCCAGCACCAGGCTTCCATTCTATGAAAAATAAGACTGGACCCGCTTGGCAGGGCCAGGAGGTGGGCACAAAGCTACCCTATGACCAACGTGGCAACGCCACACACAGCCCAGAGAATCACAACGACGGGCACACGCGTGCTCGCACTCCACAGCACACATGTGCTGGAGACCCCAAGCATCTGGCTGAGCGGCTTCCCTCCACACGTGGCGCACCACTCGGCCGTGAGACGGTACCCGGGGATCCGCTGAGGCCAGGCCACGGCGTGGCGGGGACGTGCCGGGGCGGCGTGGCGGTGCAGGGGGCGGGGAGCCGCTGCAGGGCGCCAGGTCTCCTTTGAGAAGATGAAATTGCGGTACCTGCGCCCGTGTGCCCCCTGCCCCATGGTGGGCGTGGAAAGGGCTGGGCCGAGTGGGCGCCTGGCCGGAGGGTGCCCGTGCGTGGTGCAGGGAGAGCGCAGGCCCCAGCGGAGGGTGGCGGCCACGGCCAGCGCGGGCGGCCTCAGCCACGACACTGCCACACAGGCCGCGGCCGGCGTAGGCGCGGGACGGCCCAGGACACACGTGAGACCCGGTCTAAACCTGGAAGCCAAGG